GAGGACACTTCCCTGATCTCAATGTAGTGGATCATGTTTACCAGATTATACTTATGTGTTGTGTTTTCATAGCATCATGTGAAGGAGTGTCCTTGACAAGAGGATATAGTAATGTATTTGTAGTTCTATGAGAATTTGTACATCAAAATACGCTTAGAATTTGAAGTATTGAGTATATTTACTATACAGTGCAATAATTTACTCTGWATTTACCAGACTATGGTAACCCTGGGGTCGTGATGATGGGGCCCTTGAATATTGTTGCCCAGGGTACAGCAAAGTGTTAATCCGGCCCTGCCAGTCGTCATTGTGGATCAGAAAATTCTGTTTATAAATAAATGCTCTGTGCGCTGTTACTCTATTATATCCTCCAGAAAGCCTGAATCTGTTCCTGTTAAATGTATTTTTGGCACAACTTTGCGCGTCCTTTATCCAACTGCGTCCATGTGGATGTAATAATTGTTTATCATATGTGTCTGGTGTGAACAATAATTATTTTCACATCATGAACAGTTTCTCAGAATCACCTCTAAGTGTCACCAATGGAACCAAAACCACAGAAACGTGTGTAAGCAGTCCTGGAGTTGGCGTGGAGCTGCGCACATTTCCACATTCATTTCAGTTTTGATACATACAGAGTTTTGCATGGAAAATGGCGTATGCAAGGTTTTTGTYCGTACGCACCTTTGATACACGAGGCCCCTGGTCTCCTCTGACAGCATCTCCACAAAACACGTATTTGTGTTGTTTTTCTTTTCTGTTCTGTTTGTAGTTTGACCTATGGTCTTTGTTTGCTGAATCTTAGGTGCCACTATTTGAAATGGAAGGGTTAAGGGTTATGCGCTGCGGCATGCACTGCAGCATGTATTGTCAACATGGTCACAAAAATCTGGGCTGCATCATCAACATTAATAAAAAGAGAGGAATCAGAATTGAAGCCAATGCTGTCATGTTGTAATTGTGGAACCAGTCTGTGCACCAGGGATTAGTAGCTGCACCCTTATTCTGAAAGTCCTGCCTACACTTCTACCTCAAACTGTAAAGGGTGAGCGAACATGTGTTTTAGCAGGAAGCCCAATTTTTGGCTTACTGAAAAACTTTGTGTGCAGAAGTGTTCATATTTAACACCTGGAACAAATGATCTGAAGTGTATTTTTATGTTCCTGTTGGTAGAATTTCACATTGGTTTAAGTCAGGGGTCCCCAAACTTTTCCCTGTAAGGGCCACATAACTTTTCCCTTCTCTGGTGGGGGGCCGGAGTCAGTTTGTAACAGAAAAAGTGTGACTATTGCAGGAGTGCCTAAATGTAAAAATTTATTGTTTTCCAGAAAGCACAATCAAATAACCCTCTCTGGTTCTTCACAGTATGTATTCTGCTGAGCTAACAGTCCACCTTTTAGCTTTGAGAGTTTGTTTGCTCACATTTGGCCTTGCAAGCTATCATACTTGTCTTTGTGACGGGATTCATAGTGTCGCCGCAGGTTATATTCTTTGAATACCACCACCGCCTCTTGACAGATGAACAAAAAAATAATCGTTTGTCCACTGCAGTTTAAATGCCCTGCATTCTGAATCAAATTTTCTCTTAACTAATCTTTTCGCCATTATTCCGTTCTCTCTTTGAGAGGGGCGGGTTTAGGATTTTTTTCTGGGGGTTGCCAGATAAGGGCACATACCGCAGAAGGGTGGAACAGAATGTCACATTATATGCGTGTATGTATGAAGTAGTTACTAACTAATAATACTTAATAATGAAAATAGTTCATAACTAAGGAACACTTTATTGCAAAAGTCCAACTTTATAAACAAATATAAATACACATATATGGAAAAAAAAACTAAATGCTTTCTGGTTTTGTTCTGGGGGCCGGACAAAATGGGGAGGCGGGCCGGATCCGGCCCGCGGGCCATAGTTTGGGGACCACTGGTTTAAGTAGAGGGACAGGTTCCAAAACTTGTAGAGGGTCTATGTCTGTGGTGGCTTCAACTTCTGCCTTCCTGTCCTCTCTCTAGTCGTGGTGTTTCAGTGTAGGGTCTTGGAGCGGTAAAGAATCATGAGAACTTTTATATTTCCACTATATAAACTTAGCTGGTTTACCAGGACCTCAGGTGTAAAGAACAGCATATTCATATTAAAAGGTTTTATTTCTAACGTACTGTGGTCTTTTGACAATCTAAATGTGTGGCACTTTTAATGTCAGAAATGAAGTGCTTCAAATAACAGGAATACATTGACTTCATTGTTTCCTGCAGCATTGTACTTTCACTAAACTAAAATCGCTTGTCTGACCTGAAGGTGGCTGAACTTCATCTTTTATTTCATTACTCACATTAAAAGTAGTCCTGTCTCAAACTTTTTCTTTTTGAACAGCACTTTTTTTAAGTGAATAAGTTTGGAAATGAACTCTTTGGACTCATTAAGGCTTCAACAAAGTTTTATTTATCAAGTGGGACCTAAGGTTATACTTTTTTAATCAAATGATCTATTACTCTGAGTCATTGCAACTTTCTAGATTTATTTAAGTTATTTTTAAAACATATTCATTATGTTTTAAAATATACTTTATCACATATTTCACAATCCTTCTGAGCTGTTTACCTACTTACTGTACCCAACACTTTTTTTTTACATTTTAAACTTGCTGTTTGCTCAGCTTTGAGTTCTGTTGGAARTGCTCTGTTTTACCGACAGGGTGGAAAAATCCCAATCCGCTGGACGGCTCCGGAAGCCATTGCCTACAGAAAATTCTCCTCTGCCAGTGACGTGTGGAGCTACGGCGTGGTCATGTGGGAGGTGATGTCTTACGGAGAGCGCCCATACTGGAACCTGACCAACAGAGATGTGAGCACTTTAAACACATTCCCCTCTGAAATAAACTGAAATCTCTTTCATTCAGGGTGGCTGAGGGGTTAGAGGAGAATGTGAGAGTTGACTGTGATTCCACTGCTGTTCAGTCACATTTCAAACTGTCCCTGGGCAAGACACTGAACCCCCCACTGCCTCTGATGTGTCTCCCCTCAGTGTATGAATGATTTAAAGCACTGATTAGTCTCTAGATTGATTCACCTGTGTTAGCTTTTTAGAGAGATCTATAGAGCGCTGAATGAATGTGTGGGTAAATGAGAGCACAGTTTGCTTTGAGTATCCTGGTTGGAGAGAAAGGTTCTATATAAGTATGGCCCATTTATAATTTACCATTTAAATTAAAGAGTGGCTTGGATTCTTCCCTTTAAAATCTGRTTCTGCACACTTCCTCTATTTTCAATTATTACTTTTGGTTTTTATCTACCATTTTGCTACTTTTCAGGTAATTTATTGCTTCTTTTAGCTAGCCTATTGCTGCTTTTAGTCAACATTTTACTACATTTAGCTCCTAACTAGCCTTTTGCTACAATTAGCCTTTAGTGACCATTCAGCTACTTTTAGCTTTTAGCTACCATTCTGCTACTGTTCTCTTTTAGCTGAGCTTTGGCATCTTCAACTACTACATTAAGGTAGCACTTTGTGTTACTTTTAACTAACCTTTTACCACAGATAGCTTCTAGATAGTTTTTTGTTACTTTTAGTTAATCTTCTGCTACTTTAAGTTTAGCTTAAAGCTTTTGCTGCTTTAGTTTTTAGTTACAGTTGGTTTAGTTGCTATTTTTTAGCTTTTACCTAGTGATTTGCTACGTTTAGATCATATCTTACGACCTTTGGCACTTTTGCTTCTTGTAGCTTTTAGCTCACTTTTAGCTTCTTCAACTAAATGTTTGTGAAGTCAGTCTCATCTGGGCATTTACACTGCATTTCCATAGAAAACGCTTTTTTTTCCATTGCAGAAACTGGAAGGCTGTTTTGTGTTTTGCAGGTGATCAAGTCTGTGGAGGAGGGCTACAGGCTGCCTGCTCCTATGGGCTGCCCTGCTGCTCTGCACACACTCATGCTGGACTGCTGGCAGAAGGATCGCAACGAGAGGCCGCGTTTTTGCCAAATAGTCACTGTTCTTGACAAGCTAATCCGCAACCCAGAGAACCTAAAGTCCATGGACACGCTCTGCAGGTTGGTGGGCAGCTCACTGGATCTATATTTGCAGCAAAGCAGCATGAGCACATTGAGATGTCTTTTGATTTAATTTGGTCAAACTGTGCGTCAGCGTTTAATCAAATATTGGTTTAGCTGATTAGTGGATTAAGCTACAAATCAAAGCAAAAACACTGCCTGTGAGGGTCTGAGAAGACGGTCTCTGGACAATATGTGGGGACAGAATGCAAGGATACAAAGTAACTGTCTTGTGTGGGAGGCGAGCGGGGTAAATCCAATCATCCCTCTGCTGTTAGACATGGTGCAGTGGGATAAAGTCACGGACTAAAGTTRCCCTCTAACTTCTCTGGTAGATGAAGCGACGGGTCTTCTTCATTTTCCATTAAGCTTCTGTCTGATGGATGTGCTGTGTGTTAAGTAAAAGCCTTGCTGTGATATTGACATTGATCTGCAGTGAATCTGCAAGCAAGTTTGAGGGACACCTGAACTGAAGCTGGACCTGTGTAAATCACTTCATTCAGATCCCAGGTCCTACAGAGTCAGTGGTGCATGGCACTGTGTGTGTGTGTGTGTGTGTGTGTGTGTGTGTGTGTGTGTGTGTGTGTGTGTGTGTGTGGGGGAAAAAAAAAAAAAAAAAAAAAAAAAAAAAAAAATGA